TGTACATCTCAAGCCTTTGGCAGACTCCGAAACCGTGTCTTCAGCTGTAGGGAGCTGAAATTATTTACAAAGTTATACGTATATCGAGCAGTAGTCCTCCCCACCCAGCTATATGGCAGAGAAACATGGGTCGCATACAGGAGGCACCTCAAGGCCAAAGTCAGTATAACCGTATCCCCGACGTGGCCAGTCAGTCCCCCTGGGATCACAGCTCCAACGACACGGTAAATCTCCGTGACCCCAATACATGTACTCCCAGCGACGACAGTGGCCATCGGACTGCAACAGTCAATGGTTGCGACCAGATGATAGCGACTTACTCCACAGAGGAACAAGACCCCTCGAGCTGTAGCGTCAGTAAATTACTTCGACACGCAGGCCCAGGACCTGAACACCTCCTGTACACGAGTGACGAGAAATTCGAGGGCCCGCCATTAACTGACAAGCAGATATCCAAAGGTTCTGCTAAGAAGTTCCGTCCCCCTGGAAATGGCAGAAGCCGAGCAAACACTTCAAGCGACGACCCTAAGCTACAGTCTCCGAAATGGCAGTCCTTAGCAGGATGAAAATTGTCGAACATAATGTCCTATACTGGTCCCTTAATAGACATAACGAACTGTCTAACTTATAATATCAATTATTCCCAGACATTATTCTGTTAAACAGTACTGGCATAAAGGACGAAAGTAAGCTGACAATTTTTGGCGACACTGTATACCAGAGGAACATGACGGGTGAGCTGAACGATGGTGTCGCTGTGGCCATCAGGTCACGGCTGAGTCACAGAGTGTTGCCAGACTTCGAGGATTCAGTTCTGGGAGTGCAGGTGGAGACAACTAGGGGATCTGTTATCATATGCACGATGTACCTACCTCCCAGACGTCCTTACTTACCCGAACAAGACCTCAACCAGTTGCTACGCCACAGAAAACCAACATACATCATAGGGAACTTAAATGCGCGCCACGCCATACTCGGACACGGTAATGAGAACAACGTCGGTGTGGCGCTGTATGACAACATCAGAAGGGGAAAACTGCAACACCTCGGGCCAGATTTCCCGACATTGATCAGACGTGCCAGTGCCACAACACCCGACATAATCCTCTCTAACAACGAGGCCGTCCTGAACAGGCACGTTACCGCCGGACCCATCAGTACCAGCGATCACCTGCCAGTCGTCGTGACGCTCTCATCCAATCCCATTATGATCCCCGCCAACATCAGGTCAAACCTCAAACGGGCAGACTGGGACTCCTTCAAGGAGTCTCTCAGTCTCAAGCAGGGGAGAAACCTGGAAGAAGCCAGCCCCAATGACATCGACGACGCGGTCGAACAATGGTACACGGATGTGAAGACGGAGATGGACAACAACATCCCGACCACCAGTTACAGGACCATTCCCCATCCTCACACTAGTCACCAGCTGAGGCAGCTCAGTGTCCAGTACTCTCACGTGAGACAGCTAGCCAGTATCCGCGGGTGGACACAAGAGCTGAGAGACCGGTACCGGGAGCTACAGACGGACATCCAGCACGAGAGCAAACGTCTACATGAACAAAAGTGGGCCGCCTTGGTGTGGAAGGCAGCCAACAATTACCGCGATTATGCTGCATTCTGGAAAGGGATCAAGCGACTGATGGGTTCCACCTCTAGCACGGTCCCTTACCTGCTTGACCAAAATAGCGTGCAAATATTCGAGGAGGAAAACCAAGAACAACTACATCGGCGATATTTACGGAAGATCTTTACCATTATTGAACAGGAGAACGAGGGCTTCGACAGGGAGTTTGAGGAGGACATTTTAGGTCAGTTGCCGGACCATCAGCACTTGCTCCAGCCGCTGCCACGGACTGACTTCACTAGACTGGTGGACGGAAGCTACCTGACGGAGTGCATAGTTCCTGCAGATGTGTCAGCCATCATAAAACGGTTTAAAAACAAATCACTTGGGCAAATCCACATTAACAAGAAGATCCTGGCTCAACTCCCCGACAACATGATAGAGGTTTGCTCATATATGCAACGCCTGCCTCGCCTCTGAATACTTCCCTAAGATGTTCAAAATCGCCATTATTCGCCTCATACCTAAAGCAGGGAAGCCTCCAAACAAAGTCGAAAACTTTCGACCAATATCGCTGCTAGAGGTACCTGCCAAAATCTTCGAAAAAAATAGTAAACAAGCAGTTGCGGATGTATCTGGAGGACGAAGGCGTGCATAATCCCCGCCAGTTCGGCTTCCGCCAGTACCGAGGCACATCCACCGCCATAGCCTAGGCCTACGAGCAGATCGCCAATGCCATGACTGGCTGCCTGCAGTGCAACGTAGTACTGAGGGACATCAGCAAGGCGTTTGACAAAGTTTGGCACGCGGGGCTGCAGTATAAGGTCATACAACTGGGGCTACCCGAAAACCTGACGCGCCTGCTGTGCAACTTCATTACGGACCGCAGAGCCAAAATCAAGATGCAAAAACATTGTGGAGAAGAATTCTCACTCTCGAGCTGCGTGCCCCAGGGCTCTTGCCTCTCACCAACCCTTTACACGCTCTACACGGCTGACCTGCCGCCCCCAATCGTCCAATCGTGGGCAGCGAGTACGTCATGTATGCCGACGATGTAACACAGATCGTCACCTGCCCAGGAAGGTCCACGGCAAGGATGGCGCGACTCACTGCTCGGGCAATAGAGGAGATCTTGGAGTATGAAATTAAATGGAAAATAAAAACAAACAAAACGAAATTCAAGGTCATACCCATAATCAAATTCAAGTTGGCGCCATTGATGATAGACGACGAAGGGATTGAGTACTCTAAACAAGGCAGACTGCTCGGCCTCATCATCTCTCGGACGGGCATCATTCCCCACGTGAAGGACAGACTAAATAAAGCCAAATTCGCCGCAGCCAAACTAAAACGTTTTAAACTGATGCCTGAGAAGATACAAGTTCACCTGCACAAGGCGCTGGTGAGGCCTGTGCTGGAGTACCCATCTATACCACTCGTCACACTCGGGAAGACCAGACTACAACAACTACAGAGCTTCCAAAACAAGTGTTTGAGGTCAGCCAGTGGCCTAGCGCCACCCTACCAGGAGACAGTGGAAACCATCCACCTAAGAAATAAAACAGAGGCCCTCAACGTCAGGTTCCATCGCCTAGGGAAGAAGGTTTGGGACAAGCTCCTGGACGACCCTCACAGCCCAGACCACCTACGCGGGGAAGACATCAACGGAGGGCGACCCCACGCCTGGTGGCCCCGGAGTCTGCCCGCACTACAACAACCCAACCCGCGACCCATCTATGTCCGCCACAGTGATCCACTTTAGATTAAAACTTAGATGATATAAGTTCACATTTAACAAGTCACAATCTAGTGAGTCCATAACGTAATACAGTATAAGATTTTAATAAACTTGTAATTGTAAAATCAAACTTGTCATTGTCTACTAAAGAAACCATTGTCCAACCTCATCCTAAATCCTAGGTTAGCTAAGTGAGCCAACAAACTCTGTAATATGTAAAACAAGGGGTGTCGTCCCCCTCTGTTTAACTCATTAAACTTCTTTTCCAACCTTTCCCCCCACGACTATATGTTGTGACTTCTCCATCCCTCATGTCTGGCTGTGCCTTGAGCCCCAGCATGCCTTCCATCCTTTCCCCACCTTAACCTAAAAAAAAAGAAAAGGAGAGGCGTCTCACGAAATTTGCAGAGGCTTGCGTGCGTAAGTGCATGAGTGTGGGGGGGGGGGCGTACAGAGAGCTTTACAGTACAATAGAATTTCCCTCACCGTCAACGCCCCTTACTGACCTGTTAGACGGAGGAGCACCTCATATGCACCAGTATTTAAGTAACACAGAAAGATTTTTCGTACCAAGTGCAATGATTTAAATAACCCTCAATTAAATAGTACATTGACAACATAACCCAAGAACCATTAATAATAGGTTAACAGGGACAGATCCAGGAATATCAAAAGGTGGGGGGGGGCGGTGGTGGCAAGAAGAACTTTGTGGGTGGGACATCATGGCGAGCACAGAGAGCCCACCTAGCATTTTTTTTAATTTGGCCAATATCATGGGCATTTTAAGGCCATTTTGATCAATATGCACTTCATATTAGGAGATATTCTGAGGTCAATAGCATTTACTTTTTACTATACATAAGACGCATGAGTTCAATACTGCATTAAAGAAAAGGTATTGTAACTTTCTGATGAATAATATGAAAAGTAGAGAATCACAATTAATAGTTATATTTGCAGGAAACTCAGTCTGCATTAGAGTCAGACATGTTCACTATGTTGGAGGATGTTTTTGTGTTTCATTTAAATGGTCCAGTTAAGTTGTTTCTTACAATGCGCCACTTGTCAAGGCTCCTCCTTGAAGTGATCCGAAGGACTTTCGTTACCTAGGCTGACACACACTCCTTAAGGTGCACCGCTTCACAGCAGTAAAAAACTAAGGGAATATGATGAACTAAAATTCCTGTTCATAGAAGCATTAAATTTGAACCAAAATATATCAGTGTTCCCCGATTGTCTTGAAGGAATGACATAATAATACGAGCTCATCACATTGCGGTTATTCATATAATGTGTAGCATCCTGCGAACTGGTAGGGAAGATCCCTCAAAAACGCTTCAGAACTGTTGCATGAATACCAGATCTAGCTTCATTTGGGCAACTACCCACTGGGATGCATGTATAGCCCAAACAGCCAGACCAACGCCACGTACGAACAAGGCCACCAGGACAAACCCATCTTAGAGAAGATTGCTTCAGCTATGCTCAAGAGAACATCACCTAACTTTGAGAGAGACGCCTCTAGGCTCAGTACTTCTCATGCCAGGGATTTCTTCAAGCAATCCCGAGCTTTTCTTTACTCACTCACTTTGAACTACAGATTGCGAAATTTACATAAAATGTAAACTCTACATACATAAATGCATATATACATGTATGTATAAATAATACATAGATACAATTTTATACAATACAAGGATGGAAACAACTGCAGACACTTCCACCTCCGCCGGGGCAGAGACTGAGCAGCAGGAGGTGAGGCAGGGAGCAGCTACTGTGCACCCACAGTAGCGGGCGGGAGTTGGAGGACGGTCTGGCCTCGAGTGGCCGCTTTACACGCGTTGTGGATTAATTTCTACTGTCATGTAAACTTAGTTTGGTGCCGGACCTGTCACAACGACTCCGGAAATTCTGTGTGTGCTGTGGCTGTGGGCTTCACTCACGTATAATTTCATCACTGTCCTCGCAGACCCATCTGTTAATACAACGACTGGGAAAAATCAACAATTCGGCTTGGGGGTTCATATGTGAGGGGAAACATGACGGTGTAGTTGGCATAGTTGCATAACGTCGCGGTGTATTATCCTTCCTCCCACCAAGAATGTACAGTCCCCCTTCACTTGCGCGTTTACAGGGACTCGTCATATAAACATTCCACAAATCAAAACATTGAGATATTTGTTTAAATATTGTTTTACTTTTATTCCATAGTATGTTTACTATTGCGAGTTTCCTTCTGTTGAACGTAAGCAAACTCTGGACTGCGACACTGTACAAAACCTTACGAGCCCCTGTAAGCGCACTAGTGAACGAGACTGTACAGTTCATCTTCGCGTTATAACTATTTCTCCTGTCAACACATATTAAAAGGTGTACTTCAGATCACATAAATATGCAACATACAAATCTGTTCGTAGATATTGTAAGCTGTTGATCTTAAACTACCGATAGTTTTTATATTTTAAACTGAAAATATGTCGACAAATATATCTTACTGTCTTAAAACCCAGTGAAAGATGTTTATACGTCAACTGATCACTAGGTGAGCCAGGGATATCCTCCGCTACACTCAGTACTCTCAGCAACATAACACCACCTATAAATTTACAAGTAAACTCAAATCTTTTGGGGAAAGTGAAAATTCCGGTGGAAAGCAAAATATATTTCTTCCCCTTTTTACAGACTTATTCCCTCAACATATTTGTTTTTCATTTTACACCAGAAAAGGGGAGCGGCTCACTCAGTGAGTGGTGAGGAGCGGCTCCGTCAGTGAGTGGTGAGGAGCGGCTCCTTCAGTGAGTGGTGAGGAGTGGCTCTCTCATTGAGTGGTGAGGAGCAGCTCTTTCAGTAAGTGGTGAGGAGCAGCTCTTTCAGTAAGTGGTGAGGAGCGGCTCCCTCAGTAAGTGGTGAGGAGCGGCTCCCTCAGTAAGTGGTGGCTCCCTCAGTGAATTTCTAAATATTGGTACAAGAAGTTGAGCGGTTACCTACGTGTGTGTTGGTTACGTACTCGATTTGGTGGTTGAATTTAATGTTAGCGTTTTTAAATGCCTTGAATGTAAAGTGTACTGATATATGATGATAATTACTGTGTCTGGTGTTGTTGCTGTATAATGTTATTGTTTCTGATTTTGTTGTTATATGATGCTCTAATGTATGTAATGTGATGTGTTAAGACAAATTTATTAAAAATAGTTGAGACTTCTGTAGAGGACGAGCAAAATTAAGTTCCACACTAAATATTGGTAGGTTTGGGATCCCTCAGTCCGGCTGCCGGTAAGAGAGGGAGACATGATTTATATTACCTGACCATTGGTTGTGTAATTGTGTTACTTATGTATATTGAGAGTTTAAGAATTAGATTACCGTGACTGTAGCTTTGTTGTGGAAAGGTGAACCAGAAACTGTGAATGATCAAGGTCCAACTTATGATATACTATACACTCTTTTATTTTATCGTTATTTGATTATCTGTTAAATAAAGTGCCACTGGCATTGTTATTCACAGTAAATTCACTTCATTTATTGGAAGTGTAAGGTAAACTCTTGAAATGTGAACCCTAACCTTCCCTCTGAAGCAGTCAACGAACCTGCTCAAGTGTTATTGATGCCTCTTCTCCCAGAATCTAACAAGTACTGCGATATTAGTTAACCAATCCCATGTCCATATTCCATATTGTAGTATACATTTTAGTCATTAAACTATTAAAATGTTATATGAAATCTTTAGTCAAATATATATTAACCAATCACAATCAGTTATACATTAACCAATCACAATAACTGTTATAAATGGACGAATTCATTCATAAAATTTCACACCTTACTATGTCAGGATTGCCAGGTACCACCAGCCAGTCACTCGGCGTGTATCAGAATCATTTGTTCCCAACTGTACCTACGTCTCTGACTACTATAACTCATCCAGACGATTAATATACACTAAAAAGGTTAAAGCATAAATATTCTCATGGGTCAGCCAAGACACTGGTGAATGTTTTGGTCCCACTGCAACATACTGTACTGTACAATGGCAGTTCTCCCATTAAGGGGGGGGATTATAAAGGCATTTGAAGGGGGAGGCATTTGTGACTTTATATCTTCAGAGCAGCCTTTCCCATACACATAAACGGCCAAATTACAGTACAGTAGGAGACATGAGGACACTGTAACTTAATGTACCTTACAGTAGGAGACATGAGGACACTGTAACTTAATGTACCTTACAGTGGGAGACATGAGGACACTGTAACTTAATGTACCTTACAGTAGGAGACATGAAGACACTGTAACTTAATGTACCTTACAGTGGGAGACATGAGGACACTGTAACTTAATGTACCTTACAGTAGGAGACATGAGGACACTGTAACAATGTACCTTACAGTGGGAGACATGAGGACACTGTAACTTAATGTACCTTACAGTGGGAGACATGAGGACACTGTAACTTAATGTACCTTACAGTGGGAGACATGAGGACACTGTAACTTAATGTACCTTACAGTGGGAGACATGAAGACACTGTAACTTAATGTACCTTACAGTAGGAGACACGAGGACACTGTAACTTAATGTACCTTACAGTGGGAGACATGAGGACACTGTAACTTAATGTACCTTACAGTGGGAGACATGAAGACACTGTAACTTAATGTACCTTACAGTGGGAGACATGAGGACACTGTAACTTAATGTACCTTACAGTAGGAGACATGAGGACACTGTAACTTAATGTACCTTACAGTGGGAGACATGAGGACACAGTAACTTAATGTACCTTACAGTGGGAGACATGAGGACACTGTAACTTAATGTACCTTACAGTGGGAGACATGAGGACACTGTAACTTAATGTACCTTACAGTGGGAGACATGAGGACACTGTAACTTAATGTACCTTACAGTGGGAGACATGTGGACACTGTAACTTAGTGTACCTTACAGTGGGAGACATGAGGACACTGTAACTTAATGTACCTTACAGTGGGAGACATGTGGACACAGTAACTTAATGTACCTTACAGTGGGAGACATGTGGACACTGTAACTTAATGTACCTTACAGTAGGAGACATGTGGACACTGTAACTTAATGTACCTTACAGTGGGAGACATGTGGACACAGTAACTTAATGTACCTTACAGTGGGAGACATGTGGACACAGTAACTTAATGTACCTTACAGTGGGAGACATGTGGACACTGTAACTTAATGTACCTTACAGTGGGAGACATGAGGACACTGTAACTTAATGTACCTTACAGTGGGAGACATGAGGACACTGTAACTTAATGTACCTTGCAGTGGGAGACATGTGGACACTGTAACTTAATGTACCTTACAGTGGGAGACATGAGGACACTGTAACTTAATGTACCTTACAGTGGGAGACATGAGGACACTGTAACTTAATGTACCTTACAGTGGGAGACATGAGGACACTGTAACTTAATGTACCTTACAGTGGGAGACATGAGGACACTGTAACTTAATGTACCTTACAGTAGGAGACATGAGGACACTGTAACTTAATGTACCTTACAGTGGGAGACATGAGGACACTGTAACTTAATGTACCTTACAGTGGGAGACATGAGGACTCTGTAACTTAATGTACCTTACAGTAGGAGACATGAGGACACTGTAACTTAATGTACCTTACAGTAGGAGACATGAGGACACTGTAACTTAATGTACCTTACAGTGGGAGACATGAGGACACTGTAACTTAATGTACCTTACAGTAGGAGACATGAGGACACTGTAACTTAATGTACCTTACAGTGGGAGACATGAGGACACTGTAACTTAATGTACCTTACACTAGGAGACATGAGGACACTGTAACTTCATGTACCTTACACTAGGAGACATGAGGACACTGTAACTTAATGTACCTTACAGTAGGAGACATGAGGACACTGTAACTTAATGTACCTTACAGTGGGAGACACGAGGACACTGTAACTTAATGTACCCTACAGTGGGAGACATAACGAAAATGAAATTTAACTGGCCGCTAGCGTTCAGACGGGTCGTGATAAAGACCTCACATGAGCTGTGTGGTGGCGCTCGCTGGGGGAGGATGTAAGTTCCAGGGGTGAGAGTAAGCGGCTTTCCCTAGTACTGAACGAGTAAGGGAATACACTTTCTAAATGTGTGGGTCATATCACGGCCACGTGACGCTGTTTACTGCGCTTTGTGACCAGCCAGGGTTCTTGGAAAAGGAAAGAAGTGCTTAACATTTAATTCCATTCAAAATTTTATGAATTTAGTTTTAAAAATTCTGAATTAAAAGTTTGTAAAAGTAGAGAGTGAGAGGAAACTGAGCTTTGATTCTAGAATAACTTTCTCTGGAAAGATGCATTCGGTAATAGTGCTGTTTATAAAATGAAGTAAGTGGCTGTTATTATTGAACTTTTCTGTAATTATGTGTAGTGAATGCACTCTTGAGTTTATTTCCCCATCTGCTAATAATGCAACAATTATGCATCTTTCAAGAACATTATTATTAACTAACAATTATTGTATAAAATTCGTAGAGGGTGTAGATCACCGTGGCGGCTACATCACTTTGACATTAATAGTAAACATAATCATGGGAGATCGTCGCGCCTGTAAGCTTTAGCGAATACAAATTAAGTTAAACCTCATTAAACTATGGTTGATTCTAGTAGGAACAAACCACCGTGCACCACCTGCTGTGGTGTGAAACAAATTTTGGCGCCGGAAGTTAAAATTACTGTGTTGTTTTATAGTACAAACTTAATTCAGAGAATACAATATTGACGTAGCAACATTACAATGTAAAATGTATTACTTGTCCATTGAAAAGCTTCTATAAATCATGATTCAGTTAAATAAATCTCATTTTATGATATCGTTTCCTCTTAAGGTTTATTTGTTAAATGTGGTCACTGCGTCCATCCTCCCCCCCCCTTACCCGCCACAATAAACTTCGTTTAAATATATAAATGACCGGCTACAGACCGAAGCAATTATAATCCAACTAATTGGTCTACTACAACCCACACTCTATAACAACCCCCCATAACCCACACACTATAACAACCCCCCATAACCCACACACTATAACAACCCCCCATAACCCACACACTATAACAATCCTCCCACAACCAGCACATCACGACAACCTCCTACAACCCACACACAAAAGTCCGTATTATTAAACATCTTCCCTTGAAGAGGGTCGCTGTGTTTCAACCCGAGTTTTAAACTAAATGAGTCCTGAGGATGACTGATGTCACTTCATCCCTTTGAGATGTATTAATGTTTTTTGTATCTCAATAAACGTATCAATCAATCAATGAGTCCTGAGGGACACACAGTACTGTACTTAACGGGGTGGTGTGGCGGTAAAATTAAATAATTCCAATAATGTTCTGAAAAATGGCAGACGAAATTCAATGTGGACAAATGTAAAATACTCGGTATAGGAAATTAAACAGGGAAACCAGAAACCAGATGAACAACGATGTTATTGAGAAATCCGACTGCGAGAGAGTTTTAGGAATAATGATAAGTAGGAGTCTTAAGCCAAGTAAACAATGTGTATTTGCTCGAAACAAGGCTAATAAAATACTTGGGTTCATAGAAAGGAGTGTTAGTTACAAGACTAGCGAGGTCATCCTAAAACTATATCTTGCGCTTGTGAGACCTCACTTGGATTACGCAGTTCAATTCTGGTCACCGTATTGTAGAATGGATATAGAATCCTTAGAAAGAATTCAAAGGAGAATGACAAGGCGAATCCCGGGCATTAGGAACCTTGAGTACAGAGACAGGTTAAAGCATCTTAATTTCCACTCCCTCGTGTGACGTACAGTGAGGGGCGATATGATAGAGGTGTATAAATGGAAGTCAGGGCTAAACAAAGGGGACATTACAAAGGTACTCAAACTATCCAACCAGGAGCAAACTGGTAACAATGGTTTTAAATTAGACAAATTTAGATTTTGGCGCGAGATAAGTAAATATTGGTTTGGAAATAAAGGAGTGGACGAGTGGAACAAGATACCAAATATCATCATTAGGGTCCGGATAGTTATGCACTAAAAAACCATGAAATATGCATGCAAATATGCACTAAAAACAGGGGAAATATGCATTTATATGCACTAAAAATGCCACTTATAAAGCCAAGAATGCAGGGTATACGGAAACAAAATAGTTAACAGCTTCGAGTCGGATGTGCTTGCTTGTTTTAAGGTGTTGTTGGACTTGAAATTTCTTGCTCGCTGTCACTGGTGCTTCACAATATTTACAAAACAGTACACTTCCATCAGTAGTAAATGCATCAAATTCCTTTACATATGATCTCAGCACTTCATTTTGGTTTCTTTGTACTTTCGGCATTTTCACGAGCAGCAGAAGAGAGTAGCTCCACACAGCAGCACTGCTCCTGACTGACTAACTCACTAGTCCAATGAGTCATGAACCAGGTGTGGAAACGACAGATTAAAGCGACGTGACCTCACCTCACTTCACCTAACCACACCTCACCTCACCTCCCAGTACCACGTGTGCTCATTCAGTGGCAACAAAGAGATACTGCCAGATGAATATTTTACCAAAATATGCATTTATATGCAGTTATCTAGGTAATATGCACTTATCATAGAAATCACGCAAAATATGCATTTGCATATGAAATATGCAAATGCATAACTATCCGGAATACGCTGGATAGCTTCACTCATAGGCTGGATGGATGTATGAGAGATAGGGGTTGGGTGTAAACGGGACTGCCCAGTATAGGCCAATAGGACTGCTGCAGTTTCCTCCATTCTTATGTTCTTATGTTCTATAACCCCCTCCCACAACCCACTCTATAACCCCCTCCCACAACCCACTCTATAACCCCCTCCCACGTCCCACTCTATAACCCCCTCCCACAACCCACTCTATAACACCCTCCCACAACCCACTATATAACAAAATAACCTGATGGTGTTCCTCAGCAGGCACCTGGCACTAAGAGACAACCTCAGCAGGCACCTGTCACTAAGAGACAACCTCAGCAGGCACCTGGCACTAAGAGACAACCTCAGCAGGCACCTGGTGAGAACAACCTCAGCAGGCACCTGAGACAACCTCAGCAGGCAGACAACCTCAGCAGAGCAGGCACACTCAGCTGGCACCTGGCACTAGAGACAACAGCTGGCACACTAAGGCAACCTCAGCAGGCACCTGGCACAAGCCTCAGCAGGCACCTGGCCTAGAGACAACCTCAGCAGGCACGCAACTGAGACAACCTCAGCAGGCACCTGGCACACTGGCACTGACAACCTCAGCAGGCACCTAGCACTAAGCGACTACCTTAGCAGGCACCTGGTGTTAAGAGACAACCTCAGCAGGTATCTGAGACTGATAGACAACCTCAGCAGGCACCTGGCACTAAGAGACAACCTCAGCTGGCACCTGGCACTAAGAGACAACCTCAGCTGGCACCTGGTACTAAGAGACAACCTCAGCTGGCACCTGGTACTAAGAGGCAACCTCAGCAGGCACCTGGCCCCAAGAGGCAACCTCAGCAGGCACCTGGTACTAAGAGACAACCTCAGCTGGCACCTGGCACTAAGAGACAACCTCAGCAGTCACCTGGAACCTCAGCAGGCACCTGGTAGCTGGGAGCCCCCCATCACGCATCAACTTTCAAAACTTGTGCATTTTCAATTATCGTTAAAGTAATAAAAGAACAAATGTGCAGTAAACTGTGCAACACAGTTCTCAACTCGGCGGCGACTGTGGCGCGGATACATAGAGAAGATCAGGTCTAGCTATCAGTCTTAAGGGATTAAATCGTGCATGTGTAGTCTTCATGTAGACCGACGAGCGAATAAACTCCATCCCTGGTGGCAAAAGTTTTAGGAGCTTCGAGTGGCATTCATGAGGACAGATCAGTGAGAATGCCAATATTTTAACTAGTTATCCAAGGATGTAGGAAATATACAGTATGTATGATAAAATACGTCATATTTCCATATTGTCTTACCTCTTATGAACAAGTGAAAATTATTTTAAATGCTACTAGTGACGTGTGCACCTAGGGATTTATTCTACTGTATATACTGCAGAGAATTTCCTACTGAGAAGAACAGGAGAAAATAAACCTTCTTTATATAATTACTAGCAGAATCGCCGCCCTCCGGGCGGCTCATCCACTAGGCCACGGTAGGACGCCACCCTCCGGGAGGCTCCACATTGTCTCACTGTAGTGCATTAAGGTGTCTGCTTTAATCCTGACTTTGTACTCTTCAGAAGACATGTTTCCCAGGGCATTTTTAAATGACTGTACATACGTGTTGCGCTCATGCAGCATTTCTTGGATAGATAGGAAAATGTCATGTCTGACACCTTGAATGTTGCCACACCTGATAGTAGTCTGCTGTTCATGATCTCCCATGAAGTAGATTTGGAGGAACTTTGCCTGCTCATCTTCCAATGGTAAGAGGGATCCTGCTTTGTGATAGACTTGACCCTGGACTTTGAATGTTGGTATGTATCCGTGTTCACGAAGTACTCTGGTAGCTCCAAAGGATGTCATCTGGAAGCATGAATTGTACTTCCGTATATTTTCCAAGAAGTGTTTTGACTCTGGTGTTGTTCCCAGCATGAGAGTCTTCAATTGTTATGGTGGTTTTTCCAAATTTGGCATTCATACTTTCCCATGAGAGCAGCACAGTCCAGCAGATTCTCCTTTATACTTCTTTGTACAGCAGTGTTCACATTTCTTATCCATGTTGCCAATGACAACAGAGGGATACTTTTCATATTCTATATATAACATCATCCATCATCACTACATATAACACCATCCATCATCACTACATATAACACCATCCATCATCACTACAGATCGGTAAAGTAGTTTCCGATATTCTCGTGCGGACACACACACACACACACACACATACACACACACACACACAGACACACACACACACAGACACACACACACACACACACATACACACACCTTTGTTGTATATATATATATATATATATATATATATATATATATATATATATATATAAATATATATATATAAATATAATATATATATATATATATATATATATATATATATATATATATATATATATATATATAAGTATATACTGTATATATATATATATATATATATATATATATATATATATATATATATATATATATATATATATATATATATATATATATATATATATATATATATATATATATATATATATATATATATATATATATATATATATATATATATATATATATATATATATATACAGAGCATGGACGCATCATGAGTGCATGTACTGTACAGGGAAGAGGGTGCACGATTGCCTCTGGTGTACCACAAGCAAACCACATTTTATGAAGAAGTCCAATAGTCGGTCGGGTCAAAGGCCAGCTATGTGCTACCTATCTCGGAAGGGTTCTTGTTGATGTATCCTATTGAGAAATCAGAAGCCATCTTTTCCAAGACTCTCACAAAGTCATCTCATCAGGCTATGTTTTCAACCGATTCAGAGTGTACAAGAGATGAAGGAGATGAAGGAGATGAAGGTGGGAGAAGAGGCTTCCAGATGAGCAACATCACCCAAGAATTGGTATATGTTGCACTACAAATGAAACGGGACCTTCTGGACACCAGAGGACATTCCAGCATGTGGCGAGGAATTAATGATGAACATGTAGCACAAGTGATTCCAGACAGCTTCTACCTGTTTCTCCTCCTGGTGTTGGAGGTATTGCCGTCGCGAATGAGGACCTATAAGATGATCCAGACGTTAGGCACAATGTATGTAGCATTGTTAAGGCCATTGGGTATGCCGTGTCCATCTGTCGGAAGCACATCGGGCTCGGGATGGCTCTTCACCAAGCTACCATCGGCATCGATATGATGAGATGAATCGACACCTCCATTGCAGAGGCTATTCTCGATAAGTTTGCCAAGAATGGTAATGAGTTCTTCCAAACAACATTGTCTTGGAACGAATGGTCCAACCCGGATGAAAAGAATACCTTGCACTTCAGACAGTTGGTAGTATGACAAAGGTCTAGAAGATGATCCAGAGGAGAGGCAGATCATGAAATCTAGGGTGTTTAAACCTGATTTTCTGCAAACGTTTCAAGTTATTAATCAGGCTCGACCACTATGTGATGAGAGACCCCTCACCCTCCTTCAGTGAAGCTTACAAGATTGACGTAGATGTCTGGTTAGACAGATTTGCCTTGAGTGGTCTCCCGCTTTCATAATGAAAACCCAACAGCCCCGGCACATGAAGCCTTCAATGAATCTATCAGTCTCATTGACCCACCCGTGATAACAGCAGCTATGCTAACCTTCTTCAGGTTCCAGCTGAGGATAATGAAACGGTGACCACGGTCATCAATCGGTTTGTCAGCACTTCGAACCACATCGACCAGAAACACACAATCATCGCCACTGACTAGCCACTGTAGAGTAGGGACAAGGAGATACTGTGTGCCAACCCAGAGTTCGAAAATGTTATATTCATAATGGGAGACTTACACGCTAGCTTGAACTTCTTGAAAGCCATTGGGAAACACATGGTGAATGCTAGCTCTCGATGATCTGGGGACTGAATCTGGTGTGTATGCTATTGGACGGCAAAGTATACTATCGGGCAATAATGGGTCACAGACTGGCCTATGAGGCTTTGGCTTATCCTGTGGCTATGGTTGATGGACAATGGTCATTCAGACGAGGCTAAGTCAAGGAACTTGCGCAGTACACTAAGAACCTGAGCTACACCGTGTGGTTTACGTACTTGAAGATGGTGGAGATCTTGCTGGGTTTCATCAGGGTAGAGGGAGATGGTAACTGATTCCTGCATCTGGAGGCATTTTCTGCAGTGCTCCATTGGCTCACAATATATGACCACACAAACTATGCGCGATGGGGCCCTGTCTACCTAGCCAATAGGAAGAGGTTAGAGAGGAGTCATACATTTGATAACTATGCTTTTGCCTTCCAGCTATCAGTGGCAAGACACTGGAGAACACACAACGAGAGTGGACAGTGTGTGGATAAAGGCGGCTATAAAAAACAAGAGCTGAGGAAGAACCCACAAAGAAATTCATCGATGGACCGAACATTCCAATCCCACAGGTCTGAAGCCAGTGTGTTGTAATGGATGAAAATACAACCAACGTTGCACGCTTTCTCTCTGAAGCCCTCGTGGAAGACGCGAAAGAGCTGCTGCATCGATACCAGTTGGTGGTGGATGGCGGCTTCGTTGATGTAAACGATGCAAGGTCAACCAGGCGAGAAGACAATAGACTCCATAGAATTCACAAAGTTAAGCCTGCATGCGTGCGAGACAGTCACTCAAGGCTATGAAAGGGTGTTGGTGATCTGTAGAGACATGTCATGATACTGTTGGTGTACTTTGTTATGCCATAACTATCAACTTGGATTACGTTAAAGATTAATATACTAATGAGGGCACATATGACACACACACAAAAATTGGCAACGCAGCACACCTTATTCCTGGGTTCAGTCACAGCCCTCTCTGTATCCCAACAGTTCAGGAGTGTAGGTTTGGAATTATAAGCATAAAAAAAATTAATTAAAATTTAATAAAAAAAAAAATACCAGAATAAGTGCACACTAAATAAACAATAAACTACACTGTAATATCACCATTGATTGCACTTTACACCCATAAATAATACTAGAGCAGCACTGAATAGTTAGTACTCAACTAAACTGACAAACTGAGACGTCCTCCTACCCCCAAGGCCAGCCAGTGACTGACATGCTCCATACTCCAGGGAACTACAAACCTAATACTAATATTAATCAACTCACGCATTAAGCTGCAAAAATACCTACATACATACAAAACAAAATATTTTATGTATCAAATATCAGCCCTGCTCACACATCATTATACAAAATTATATTTACATAACTTGGGGTAACATGCCTAAAAAATATTTCACTATGCACAGCGCAACGCACCATTGTACACTCGCAACAAAAAGTATTGGTGCATACTGTAGTGTGAACAATTTGAGACCAGTGACGATAGGTATTGGGAAAGGCGAGTTGTTCCAGCCGTATGTTGGCAGCCCTGTAATCCTGCTGAGCTGCGACCGTTGATGTATGGAGATATATTTCGTCTGTCTCATTCCACTCGTTTCGAATCTCACAAATATCAATATAGAAGCACCCACATATTGATCCGTTTCATAATGTCATTGTATACTGAACATTGTGTAATCTAAATGTAATATTTTACGGGCCCTTTGATAATAATTTCCGGTAGGTAGTGGCTTATTTACCAATTGTTCAGCCCCACGTAATCAGCTGTGTCACGTTACTGCTATCTTATCACCCATATTATTGAGTAACATATGATATTGGGTCCTGTGTGAGTGTGAAATATTTCGGAAGTGAAATGAATGACATGGGAATATCTTTTATTATGTTAGTACTTGGTGTAACCACCACCCGCTTTTATGACGACATTCAACCTGCGGGGCATTCATGCTACAAGCTTAGATGTCAGGTCAAGTCGCTTAGGACCTCGTAGCCGCTCCCATGCCTCCAAGGCACGGGTGAGGACATAGTCTCGAGTCGGGTGACGTCCC